TAATATGGAATATTTTTCATTATAATATTGTTTTTTAGTGTAGGATTACTTTCCTTAATAGTTGATTGTTTAATCTTTATTTTTTTTTATTTCCTTTTACAGTTATTTGTAATTCTATAAATAGGGTCTTCTACATTGTAATATTTACAAGTCAATAATAATACAATTTATATTTCTTGACATGGTATCAGAGCCATTCCGATCCTAAACAAATTAACCCTGTGCTGCTCGCCCGGCCAATTTTTTTTCTTTTCGTTTGAACGAGTTGGAGCAGTCAAAGTTTCTGGGTCAGATTCAAAAGAATTATGTAGTAATGGAAACGGGGCAGTCTTTTGATCTTCAAATAAGCAGTAAAAGCCCAGAATCTCAATTCTTCTACAGCATTAGATTTCTTCGCTGAAGCTCGAAAATCTGGACTGGAAATACCTTACAGCACGATTTCTGATTGGTTTCCTCCATAATTTGATCGGTTAATTAAATCTGTCAATTTAATTACCCAATCCACTTTCACGGATTTCTTACCCCGCCATTGTCGTCTCCCTCACAAAAATTCACGCACGAGACCGAAATCAAATATTTACAAGTCTTTGGGAGCACAAATTTTGATTGATGATAATCCAAGATATGCTACTGAATGTGCAGATGCTGGGATAAGGGTTCTTCTTTTCGATTATGAAAATACTTATCCATGGTGCAGACAGAGTCTGTTAATCAACATCCTCTCATCACTAAGGTCAATAACTGGGAAGAGGTGCGACATTTAACTATCGCTAAGTGAAGATTTAACTGGTGATTCTTCAGATAACAACCCGATTTCCAATGTTCCCCCAACATTGTAGGACAGAGATTCCGTTGAGGAGTTCTTTGAGGACGGTGTTATTTCTGAGGTTACTAATTGGGTTGGGCCTCCATTTATTACCTCCACTGTTGGGCTTGATTGGGCTGTAGTTTTATAATGCTGAAATTGTGAAATGAACTAGGGCTGCAGTTCAATAGATTTTGGGCTGAGCGCTACTATTTAATTTTTTTTTTTTTTGGGCTTCTTTGTGTGGGCTGTTATTTCCCTTGGGCAATTGATTTGGGTTAACTAATTGGTCGTGTTTATTGGGCTTGGGCTGGGCTGAATTTACTTAGTGGATTGTGATTAATTTTATGGTTAATTGGTTGGTTGATTTTATTGTGGGCTTTTTCATTGGAGTGGAGATAGAGGAGTTGTTTTCAGTGCAATTGGGCTAGTTATTATGGGCTTTATGAATAGGTTAGGTATTTGTTGGAAGTGGGCTTGGCTTGTGGACATGAGGGTCTAACTTGTAATGGGTATAGGTAATTATGGGTTGTGAGCAATTGGGTATTATTTTGGTTTTTGCGACTTGCTATGGTTTTCATTTATGGAATTTTGGGCTTATTATTTTAGGTTTGCGAGGATTAAAAAAAAAAAAAAAACAACGTTGTGTGGTTTTGGATTCTCATAGGAGGATCATCTTCCGGTGTTTTGGCGTTAGAGCTTTTGTCGGAGCACAATTTCCATGTTCGACTCAGTTCTCCCCGACAGTTAGAGCTCCCTGTGTGTGCCGGCGCACTTCGTCAATTTCCTTTGGAAATTCTTCGGGGTGAGTGAGCTCTCTGGAGTATCTTTGGAGTGGCTG